AATTAGCAATATTTGACAAACTTTCTTGTTGAATGGTGAAAGCTTAAGATTATTCTTGGATAATCTTGAATTGGTTTTTCAAACCCTTGGCTGGCTAATTCCTTTTCTAAGGGGATTGTGTCCTGCTTTAGCTGGTTTAGCTTACATTTGACAGAACAATTTTGTTGGAATTCATCTACAAATTTGCATTTCACTAAACTAAGGATCATATTGAAGTGAATCAATGAATTCCAACCTAGAGGTCATTTAAAGATGATGAAAATAGATCTCATTTGAAATTCTATATTGAAATGAATCATCAAATTCCAGATTTTACCAATTTTAATGGAATTTGAAATCATCATTTCAGTATCATGTGGAATTCCATATGAATTAATGTTTATCATTTTAGGAAAAGTGTTCACAATCTTTTAATTGAAATTAATGTGTTTACAAAGAATTCTGCAAAAATTTTTAGATTTATTCCACAGATATGCGGCCTTAACATCTTCTTGTTAGCAGATGTAGGCACTAGGATTTGTTGAGGATCACTTTTGTTCTTTATTTTTGGTTTTCTTAAATAGGTTATCGTGTTATTGTATTGGTTCTTCATTGTTTTTCATGTAACCTCTTATGTCAAATTTGGTTGCTAAATGTTATGGATGCTAGTATGAGCTTGAGTTTCTACTTAGTTGCAAGTTTTATCTTTTCTCAAATGAATTTTCTTTTTTTCTTTTTTTTTTCTTTTTTACTGGATAAGTTTTCCCAAAAAGAAGTTTGCTAGAAGTAGTAGTCACTCTGATTTTCTTTTCTGGCTTTGAAGGCTTGTTATTGGGTTTGGTTCCCAGACAGCAAACCTCTCATAAGAGGACTTTTGCTGTATGGGCTGATGGCTCTAATGTGCAATAATTGGATATCATATATGCTCCTATATATACCTTACTAAAGAAAACATTAATTTGATCTTGAAAACCTGTGTTTACAAATGACATATGATGATATGTGTAACAGTTCCTGATATGTCGATACATTCTTGCTAAATGCAGCTCGATTTTCTCCTGATGATAAATATTCGAGGCAGAGAGTTGCCCTCAAGAAGCGCTTCGGATTGTTGCCAACACAGAAACCTCCTCCAAAGTACTGAAAGTATTGGGGAAAAGCATATTGGAGTGCATTTGAGATACCGGAATGTTTATGATCCGATGGAATTAGGACTGTGAGTCACTATTGTGTAGCACTAATAGGTATTGGCTGATATTTGATTGGATAATATACATCAGACTTGCAAGTGTATCATGCTTTCTAAATTATAAAATTCTGGCTCTACCTTTTGATTGACTGAATCCAGGATTTGTGATTTATGATGGTTTCTCGGAGTATAGTATTTTCTTTTAGGTTAGGTGACTCCTACTAAGTTAGAAGATTAAAAGATGTTGAGAAATCAAAGAATGCTTCTTTAAATCTGTCCAATTCTGCAGACATTTTAGTTGTTTGGGCCGATTACAGTGAAAATCAATAAATTTAATTTAGGCTGATTACAGTTATTATTTTTTAAGCGGATCAAATATTCTTTTATCAAATAACTAAATAAGTTTAAATAATTTACATAATGAATTTGTTTCTAAAGAAGTTTATATTAATTAATAATTTTTTTTATAAATATCTTTATTGTATTCTGAAAAATAGAATTAGTAAAAAAATTAATTTAAACTTATTCTATTTTGATTCTATTTTTATGTTCTAATTATTTAATTAATTAGACATTTTAATTTTACAATAATAAATTTATATCTTAATTTATTAAAAGAATTAAATAAATATTTAATTTAAACTAGACATAAAATTAACAAAAGTTAAAATATTGTTTTTATTTAAATTTGTAGATTGCACGAAATTTAGTTGAGAGACGGAAAAAAGAGTTTAAATGGGCCCAAGCATAGTTATCTTAAACCAGCCGGCCAGCCATACTGCTACCTCCTCCTGTCCGCAACAGAAACAAACGGCGGCGCCAATCGTTGAGCATGGCGGTGCAATCGCTACTATAAATTTCCAGAACATACAAGAACAAAGAGAAGAAAAACATGACGATGGAATGAGTTGCAGATAATTGACTGAAACAATGTTTTCCGGCACACGAGGTCCAACTTCGTAAGAGCGGCGCCTTGCGGCAGATTCTTTTGCATGAATTCGTTGCCAAGCCGGAAATTAGGGTTTTTCCTGTTTGATTCAAAATTTGATTAGCAAGTGGACCATGACGAGCGCTTCAAATTCTTCCAAAGGGAAAAAGCGCCAAAGAGAGGAAGGCACTGAACCTGAAACTGGCGATGTTGTCGATCATAAGGTTTCGCTTGGTAATATGATTTTCTAATATTAGGTGAATGCTAAGCTAAGAATTTGGTGGTAATTTCACTTTCTTCTTTGAGTGGAGTTATTTATTTTTAGAATTTTTGTTACAATTCAGGGGATAGTCTTACTTTTAGCGATACTTTGGTCGCGCTTCGGATAATGCGAGCTCAATTCCCTTCCATCGAAAAGGTCGAGTTTCTAAATTATGCTTTGAAATTATTTTACTTATTTTTCTTAACTGACTGCAGAAATTCATTTTTTTAGAAAGAAATAAATCATTATTTTTTTTTAAAGAAATAAATCACTAGTTGATGAAAATTTGTTTCTCATTGAGAATTTGAGCTTATATCTATTCGACATGTATTTGAAGTAATATATTCTGATATTTATGGATGCTTTATTTTCGTCAAGAAGTTTGTAATTTTGATTATTGAATATTGAGATAATTTTGACCATTGAAAGTTGAAGTTTGTTTAATATTTTTTCTAATAGGTTTCAATTCAGCCGTTCATTTTACAGTCACAATTGTACAGCAGTGTAAAGGATAGAACGCAAGTGGATCGAGAACTAGAGGTCTGATTCCCCATCCAGGAACTTCTCTAAAATTCATTTTGGTTCCGATTACTTACATTTCTCTCCTGATATGATTTCTTTTTGTAGGATGTCTTGATATAATTTTGTTTAAGAATTAATTTGATAACACAATTTAATGGTATAGATTAATCTTATTAGTGGAAAACATTATTCTTTCAAGGTTCAATGCATTGTAAAACACCTTGAAGGAATTGCTGTCCTAAAAGTGAAACCTCATTTCATCATTTTTCATGTTTCATGCTTTGTAGATGATATGGCCTTTGACAGATTTATAGGTTGTACATAGAGTTGGGGATTAGAGTTACTTAGTATACATTCTCTTGTTTCCTAAAAAAGTAAATTGGTAGACATGTACATACAAATGTTGCCTATTATTCGTATCCAATTTTTTATACAGTATCATTTGGTTGACTTTCCTTCAAATTTGTAATGGTTCTTGCACTTTTCTCCTATTTTTATAAACAGAATCGATATAATGTTTTTAGAAAGGATTCTTCCATTTGTTTATTGCAGATATATGATTTCATGTGCTTTATTCTTTTTATTAAGAGGGCATTTGATCAAGTTGACTCTTATAATAGATTCAATTCCTTGGTGCCTTTCTTTTTTTCTTTTTTAACCTTTTTCTAAAGGATTTTTTTTTTTGCATCTCTTTTCATTCATCCATTTTAATATGCAAAGTCTCTAAGGAGGGAGAAGGTACTGCGCATTTTCAAATTAAACACTGGACAAGATGACCACGCTATAATGTTTTTGGAGGACTATCTCATCCAGGTTGGAATTTTACTATTCAATATCTAACTATATCTATACCTAGAACTTTAGCCTTAATAGTTCTCAGAACGTATTTTCTTCCCTTGAAAGAATTTGATCTTATTGTAGAAGTTTGGACATATCTTATTCTTGATCCTTGGTATGATTGTCTCTTTTGGGTGTGTAGATTTTCTAGCAAAGAGGATATGTTATTCTCTGTATATGAACTTACACCATTCTTTCCTTTAGTAACATTTTGTTTCCCTAAAAAAAGTGTAAAAGTTAAGGTAAGCTTTTTGCCTATATGCATTGCTATGTCTATACTTCTAGCTCTTTTTGATTTTTTAGTACTAGTTACACATGCATTGCACTATAACCTTTTTTTAAGGATTGACATCATGGAGCTGATTTTCTTCTGTGTAGATAGACGGTGTCATGAAAAGAATGGAAGGGAAGATGCAAAGTGATATTAAAGTCTTTAAGTGGTTAAAAA